AACGGTTTGTTGCGTGCCGCTCTAGCTTTTAACCAGCATATTCTTTGACAACTTTGCCTGCTTTTGCCTCACACTCATTTTTGTGTCTCTCCCAGGAGGAATCCAAGGCCTTCCACACTCCCAAGACCAGCCAGGCCTCTCTACCCACCCTGGAACAACTGTTTCCCACTGCCGCCATAACCAACCTCCACTCCCAGCTCCCCTTTTCTAATAAACAAATGTTACTTTCACCAGCTGATTCCGAGTCTGATTCTGGGTCCCCTCCAGTACATGTAACACCGACAGTGACTTGTACTAGCTTCTGCTCGCATTAAAAAAGAAAGAAAATACTTCTGATAAATCGGAACGATAAAGCACGTTATCATACTCTAAAATAATAACATTCTGGCAACATAAAAAAATCTAACTTGCAGCTGAAAACGGTTTTATGTTATCAAAAACATCTTAAGAAGGTTATCAAAAACATCTTAAGAAAGTTATTACCAAACATTTTAAGAATGTTTTTAGAGAACGTTATCCTACCTTTCAGAAGAACATTCTGGGAACCAAAAGAAAACTTCCCGCTGAAAACATTCCTAGAACAATGAATAGTAACATTATCAGAATGTTTTTAGAACCAAAAATGTCTAGCTGGGTAGATAGCCAATATACAACCCAGTCTCACTGCATTTTGTGTTATAGTCAGGGCCGCCCCTGGCCAACTTGGGGCTCCAAGCGACATTGTGAGATGAGGCCCCCACCCCCAACCGACAGGAGTGAAACATTTGTTTTTGAAAACAAAGTAGGCTACTTTACAAATATAATTCCTGTTTATTATTATTATTATTATTATTATTATCAACACAGTTACTTTTTTATACAGTGAGGTAAATGGTAAATGTATGTCGTTCAGTATGCGTTTACAGGTGAATACGTCTGCATTTCCTGCCAAATACTAGCCTCAAAAAGATTAAAATATAATTAATGCAAATAAACTACTTCTACTAATAATAATAATCATAATCAATTCAATAATATAAATACTATATTATTTTATTATAATATAGTTGTAATAATAGACAAAACATGCTGATGACATGCTCAAAAACTGATATTTCTTAAATCTGTATTCAAATGTAGTTCCCTCTGTCAGCAATGTATCAACAACTTCACACACATTTCTATCAGTACAGTATTTCTCTGTGTTGTGGTTGACATGATGATGACTGTTAGGAGTTAATGGGAGAGGCTGAGCATCACCATGAAATGTGCAAATTGACATAAAAATGAATAAAAGGGGAAACAATGCTCCATTTTTTTTGAGGCTGTAAACTTGAACTGTTATGTAAGCCAACTAGACAGACAGTGTATCACTCTTCCTCCTGCACATTAGCAGATAAAAGGCATCACATACTTGAATGAATGATAAATAAAGAATGCTGGAAATAACTGCATCTCCATTAGCCTATATGCTATGCAGAGACTGCCTTCTCAACCCAGTCTCATAAAAAAACGTGTAATAACTACGTTGGTCCACAACGTAGGACGTAGTATTTCTACAAAAACGGCTCTGAAATTGTAAGATCCCTACGTTTTTTTTCACCATTCATTCCAATGGCTGGCGTCTATGTCACGTGATCTTCACATTTCTCCCTGCAGAAAAAAAAAACATGGCCGAACTTCGTTTTATTCTCGGTGTAAAATGCCTATTTTAACGTTAGTTTGGCCATTAAAATGCCTTTTGATGTCATTTGATGCGAGAAATATGAGTTGTTATTTCAGATGATGTGTGCAGTGGATGTACATGATCTTTAGTTTGCTAGTTATTACGAAGATTACTTCAGGAAATTGTGTCTATATAACGTTTTCATTGTCACCAAGGTGGTTGATGCTGCTATCGATATTATTTCTGTTATGTTGTGTAACTGTTTAATGGTGTTATCTTTATTGCTACCCCCTTCCCCGTCAATTTATAGTGTTGGTCCACAGCGCAAACGTATTAGTTTAACAAAATCCGCATCTAAAATTGTGGCATAGATACGTTATTTTCTCCATTTACTCAACAATAACACATAATTATCCTTGTGTTTATTTATTTGTTTGATTAATAAACAGAAGTTGGAGTCCGTCAGGACCGAGGGTCGGAGCAGCTCATTTGCTTTATAGAATATTACACCCGGAAGTAAGTATTCTCTCCGCTTCGCTTGACAAACCCCGTGATAGTCCTCAAGCTCTGTGATTGGAGAGTGTGCCGAGCGTCGAACAGCACGTGAAATGGGATGGAACCACAGCAGACTGTCCAAAACTGGATTTGAACGGGTCCACCCCGTCCCCCCCTCCCCCACCCCGTCCCCAGAACTACACATGCTGGCTATTGTGTTTCGCAACATGTTCTATGGCACGTCTCTACTGGGAGTTGTAGTTTTAAAAGACGTTTTCGTATTTCCCATAATAAGAAGTTGCCAGTATTAAACTGTGTACATCCCTGGAGGTTTAGGGGATAGGAAACACTCAAATGTAAAACATATAATTAATAAATGGGTGAAAATTGCTTGTGCCCATAATGGGTAGCATTACCCACATGCCAGCTAAGGTCAGAAGAGCTTTATTTAACAGCGGGTCTTATGTTTGTGACCCCTCCTGTTGTTAATTGATAATGCCTGAGGCACATTTTGCAAATATGGCAGTAGCCATCGATCATCTTAAGATAAGATATACTTTATTGATCCCAAGTTGGAAACATTTGCGTTACATCAGCATGTGTAACAGTTGTACATATGCAGTGGTGTTTATTTGTAAATCATTTAGTATAATCACACAAATTCTGTGTTTTATATTTAATAATTCTGTGTTATTTATTTATTGATTGTTCAATACCTGACAAGGCCGGAGATGAAAAACTTTGGTCGCAGGTTCCTCAACAGTGCATTACAAGACATCTATCAATATGTGTGTACCTCCACCATTAAACTGTCGTATTCTGCACATTTCTTATACTATCTACATACATCTTATGTAAGAGTATAATACATATGTATAATATCAGTTAAAATAAGTGCTTCAACATAGTTAACATTGCTGGAGGTATCCACAAAGTTGTTCATTCATTGCATAACTACACCATTTGTGTATATGATATGTCAATAAACCTTAGAACATCTTGAAATCTTGAAAGGGATGTGCAAAATAGTCATTATATACAGTCTTTAATTAACTATTAGTAGAGAATAACGAGTAATGAATATAATTTATAGGGATCCTATTAATATCTAATAATAAAAATAATGAAATTCAATAACATGCTTTAACCACTAGGTGTCCCTTTATATCAGCTGTACACCTTTATGGTGTAAGTACAGCCTATCTACCAATTGGATCAAATATAAAAGTCAGCCGAATTAGTGTTGATACTGCAAGGAGACGTATTGTGTGAAAAGAAATGTAAGATGTTGTTTAATGGCTGATATATTTATGATCCACGTCACGTTTTCAGTGTTGGCGGCAGTTCCTCATGTTTGTCTAGAAGTCTTCTCATCAGGGCTCTATAAATAGAGAACTACGGCATATATGTAATATTTAATGCAGCCGAACCGTGTATTACAATGCCGTTATGTGATGACTTTCAAAGAGAAAAGCAAGCACACTCGGAATAAAGTGTTTTCGGTCTGTTTCCGGTATTTGTTTATAACGATGTGCTGTGAGATGTGAGACTGGAATTGCACAGGGGAAAATAACATATCTATGCCACAATTTTAGATGCGGATTTTGTTAAACTAAAACGTTTGCGCTGTGGACCAACACTATACATTGACGGGGAAGGGGGTAGCAATAAAGATTACACCATTAAACTGTTACACAACATAACAGAAATAATATCGATAGCAGCGTCACTAGCAACCACCTTGGTAACAATGAAAACGTTGTATCGACACAATTTCCTGAAGTAATCTTCGTAATAACTAGCAAACTAAAGATCATGTACATCCACTGCACACATAATATGAAATAACAACTCATTTTACACCAAGAATAAAACGACGTTCGGCCATGTTTTTTTTTTCTGCAGGGAGAAATTTGAAGATCACGTGACATAGACGCCAGCCTTTGGAATTAATGGTGAAAAAAAACGTAGGGATCCTACAATTTCAGAGGCGTTTTTGTAGAAATACTACGTCCTACATTGTGGACCAACGTAGTTATTACACGTTTTTTTATGAGACTGGGTTGGCCTTCTTCATGTCGTGAATTGCAGCTGATGTTTTAATATGGCAATTGGCAATTTGACTTATACAACATTCGCAAGTTGTACATTTGACTCATACAATAACCCACCATCGAGTGACGCTCTAGTTTCTTCATGTTTTGTTTTTTTTCCCCTCTTGCTTGCGCCGGACTGAAACTGTCTTTTCACCGACATCTCTTCACCTGCATAGTGGCCGTATCAAAGCCGTGATTGGTCAGATGTCGATTCATTGCAACGGTGTCGGATTACAGACGTGCTCCCCTTGTCACCTCTCACTCTCGCGGGGGGTGCGCGGACAACTGCACGAGAACTGCGCACAGCAGCTGAGGCCCTCTGGGCGGGGCCCCCTGCGCAAGGCGGGGCTCCATGCAGCCTGCCTGATTGGCCTGTAGGGAGGGGCGGCCCTGGTTATAGTCAAAACATTTAATCTATTAATTCATTGGAATGGTTTTAAATGAGAAGCTATTTCTCGCTTCGAATAAGATCCTTGGCTCAGCCTCATCAATCGATTAGTACTGGCCCATATGTTGAAAACTAAAGCTTCATATTCATCCACACATGCCAGAAATAAAAAAACTGAAAATGCCCATCGTATAATTATCAATAACGGATGGTGTGTGTGTGTGTGTGTGTGTGTGTGTGTGTGTGTGTGTGTGTGTGTGTGTGTGTGTGTGTGTGTGTGTGTGTGTGTGTGTGTGTGTGTGTGTGTGTGTGTGTGTGTGTGTGTGTGTGTGTGTGTGTGTGTGTGTTACCTGCTGTTACAGGTGTGTGTGTGTGTTACCTGCATTCCAACCACAGCGTATATAAAGAATAGCATGAGAATGAGCAGGCCCACATAGGGGAGAGCCTGCAACACAACAAGCAGTAACACTGTCAGATGGATGCCTCATTTCTGAACTGGCTGAATCTGATCAGAGTTGTTACTGACCTGAAGGGATTTGATGAAGGTCCACAGAAGATTCCGAATCCCTTCAGAGCGATTCAAAAGTTTCACCAGGCGCATGACCCGAAACAGTCTGAAGAATGTGACTGACACGCTCATGTTTTCAGAAGACTTGTCAGAGAGATGAAGGACTTTTTATAAATCACATATTCCAAAATAAAATAAAAAAAACTGGATTTAAAAACATTCAAGCATCTCACCGCAATTGCTTGCATTGGATCCACTGCCTGTAGAATTATAAATATTTTCTTTAAAGCTGCATTTATTAAGAATGGCTTTTTTTTAAATGTTTTTATGCTCACGTTCCAAACTGTTAGTGAACACATCCATATTTGGTCATTCCATAAAAAAAACTTGCATGAGAAGCAGAACGAGAGATTTATCAAACAATAGGAAGATTTCTATAATGCAGATAAACAAAACTAAAAAGTAGGATTAAGTGCCTTATCCATTGAAGGATGACAACGCCATTTGTGCCAAGAAGGGCTATATGGTTATATCAATTAGCAAATTCGTGGGACTTTATGGGGGGGGGGATTTGCGTGACTCTGGGAGAGTTTTTGTAGTTGGGGCAAGAGATCCTTGGTCCCTCGATAGGGGCCAGACCAGAAGGGTTCACTGACCCTATTTGACAAGAAGGTTGTTGCACCTTAATTTAAAACAGTGGGTGAGAGAGAGAAGCATAGCTGTCATGTGATCACCTGGGGGTGCGTGAGATCAGATGGGTGCAAGGCTGACGGACATACAGACAGGGTTCAACTGGAACCCTCAGCCTCACTGTGATCTGCTGAGAGTTGTGCTGGCACAGATTGTCTGCTGCCTCTGTCCAGAAAGCTGGATAGATAATGTAACGTGCATGCTGGTAAAAAACTGAACACTTCTTTGATTCACTGGAATCAAATAGCAAATCCCACCAGCAGCCTGGCAAAGAGCCTGTGATTAATCAACCCAGTCTCACGGCATTTCGTGTTATAGTCACGACATTTAATCTATTGATTCGTGTTCACCAACACGATTTTCCCCTTTTTTTTCGTGTCACACAGAACGATATTAAAAGCAAGTATTTATATTCTAACTATCAAATATCTCTCCTGATTGTCAAGTGCCAACAATCAGGAGAGATATTTGATAGATCTTTTTTTTTCAAAGGTTGATTTTTATATTCTATATTTCTATCATTGACCTTCTACTTTCCCCCTATGAAAGTATGTACTCTTAATATTTTTTTAATCAAATATAACACATAAAAACAACAATAACAATAATTCAATAATTCAATAATGTGCTTTAACCACACAAGGTACACACAGCCATAATAACTTTGTATTATTAGTGTAGGACACTTATGCATGTACAACATCTGAAGATGTGTAGTTTTATTCATGCTTTCACATCATTTTACAGTATATTGCTATACTATTTCAGACTCAGTATTTACATTCTTATATTTAAAGAAAATCAGTAATATCTTTAAAAACTACAAGTCCTTTTATATCAGCTGTGCACCGTTATGGTGTAAATTAATATAACCTATCTATGAATTAGATCAAATGTAAAAGTCAGCCGAATTAGTGTTGATACTGCAAGGAGACGTATTGTGTGAAGAGAAATTGAAGATGTTGTTTAATTGTTGATATATTTATGATCCACGTCACATATTCAGTTTCGGCGGCATTTCTTCCAGTTTTTCCAAAGGTCTTCTGATCAGGGCTCTGTAAATAAAGAACTACGGCAGATCTGTAATATTTAATGCAGCCGAACCGTGTATTACAATGCCGTTATGTGATGACTTTCAAAGAGAAAAGCAAGCACACTCGGAATTAAGTATTATTTTATTCTTTTAAGATGTTTTCCGGATTTAATATCATAAAAACACTAAATCCCAGCATGCATTGCGGCTAATACATCCAATCAGCGAGCTTAAACCATAGCTAAGGATCTTGGGTAATCGCTCGAAATGCCTAAGTCTGTTTCCGGTTATTTTTATTTTGAAATTCAGTTCCTGACGGACGTCAAAAAAGCCAGAGATTATGGAATTAAACCAATAAATAAAAGCAAGGATAATTGTGTGTTATTGGTGAGTAAATAACAGTGTGTTATTTTGAAAATAATAACAAATTAGAAGGAAAAATAGATTTAAAAAACAAAGATTTCAGTATCCTGAGGCTCTGAGCCCCATTTATTTTCCTCACAGACGGCAACAAAAGTCCGAAATTATACGATTTAAAATAAAAACAATAATTGTGGCTTGATATTGAGTAAGAACATGTTTTTATGAACCACACAGCTTCCGATCTTCCACGACCCGACTGGAGAAAAAGACATGCTGCAGGCACGAAACACATTACCAGTAGAAATACATTGCTTTTAAAATTGTGCTGTGCAACACGAAAAAAAGGGGAAAATCTTGTTGATGAACACGAATCAATAGATTAAAAATCGTGTTGGTGAACACGAAATGCCGTGAGACTGGGTTGGCATGGCTGGATATGCCAATACTGAGTAGCCTCTGCTTTAAGATGCGATGATCAACGGTATCAAACGCTTTGGAAAGGTCAATAAATAGAGCTGCACAACTCTGCTTATTATCTAAAAAACTCGTAATGTCATTCACCACTTTCATTGTGGCAGTGATGGTGCTATGTTGCTTTCTGAAGTCTGACTGATGTTTAGACAGGATATCATTTTTACATAAAAACTCCTTTACCTGTTCACTCACTAGGCGTTCGAGCACCTTCGCCAGAACTGACAATTTAGAGATTGGCCTATAGTTATTTAAAATAGTTGCCTCCCCTCCTTTTAGCAAAGGCAAGACATAAGCTGACTTCCATACTTTTGGAATTGCATTTGTGCTCAGGGAGAGGTTAAAAAGAGTAGTAAGAGGAAGAGCAATAACATCTGCAGCTATCTTTAAAAAGAAAGGTTCTACGTTGTCCGGGCCAGCCGGTTTCTTAGGATCTAGCTTAGATAAGGCTTCATGAACAACATTGACAGTAAAAGGAGTAAAACTGAAAGGGTTTTCCAGACCACATTGTTCAGAGTCACGGACTGTGGTGTTCACAGAAGCAGAGTTAGAAACAGAATCAAACATAGAACCGCAGGACACAAAATGCTCATTAAAGCAATTTAGCATAGTGGCCCTGTCCGATATAGAGCCAGATGCTGTGGTAAGGCACAGAGGTAGCTCATTACGGATCTCACCGGTGGATATCGATTTTATGGCTTTCCAAAATTTCCTAGGATTATTTAGGTTTTCTGTGGTAACAGACAAATAGTAAGGCAAGGCAAGGCAAGGCAAGGCAAGTTTATTTATATAGCACTTTTCAACACAAGGCAATTCAAAGTGCTTTACAAAAAATTAAAGACATTAATAAAATGGCATTTAAAATCAGTCATTAAAAAGAAAAGCTAATAAAATAAACATTAAAAGAAAAAATACATGGATAAAAGTTTCAGTGCAGTCTAAGATATGAATAGTTCAATTAAACATTAAAAGAAAAAGTACATGGATAAAAGTTACAGTGCAGTCTAAGATATGAATAATTCAATTAAAAGCAGCGACAAAAAGAAAAGTCTTCAGCCTGGATTTAAAAGTAGTCAGAGTTGCAGCGGACCTGCAGGTTTCTGGGAGTTTGTTCCAGATATTTGGAGCATAATAACTGAACGCTGCTTCTCCATGTTTAGTTCTGACTCTGGGGACAGAAAGCTGACCAGTCCCTGAAGACCTGAGAGATCTGGATGGTTCATAATTTAGCAGGAGGTCAGAAATGTATTTTGAGCCTAAACCATTCAGTGCTTTATAAACCAGCAGCAGTATTTTGAAATCTATTCTTTGACACACAGGAAGCCAGTGTAAAGACTTCAGAACAGGAGTGATGTGATCCACTTTCTTAGTGTTAGTGAGGACTCGAGCAGCGGCGTTCTGAATCAGCTGCAGGTTCCTAATAGATTTTTTAGTGAGACCTGTGAAGACACCATTGCAGTAGTCCAGTCTACTGAAGATAAAAGCATGGACATGTTTTTCCAAATCCTGCTGTGACATTAGTCTTTTAATCCTAGATATATTCTTTAGGTGATAGTAGGCTGATTTAGTAACTGTTTTAATGTGACTGTTGAAACTCAGGTCAGAGTCCATGACTACACCTAGATTTCTGGCTTTATCTGTTGTTTTGAACATTGCAGACTGAAGCTCAGCACTAACTTTTATACGTTCTGACTTGGCTCCAAAAACCATTACCTCAGTTTTATCTTTGTTTAATTGGAGAAAGTTCCGACACATCCGGTCATTGATGTGTTGAATGCACTTACTCAGTGTTTGAATTGGAGCATAGTCTCCTGGTGAAATCGTTACGTACATTTGTGTGTCATCTGCATAGCTATGGTAACTTATTTTGTTGTTTTTCATTATCTGAGCCAGTGGTGTAGACGTTAAAGAGAAGAGGCCCCAAGATGGAGCCTTGAGGAACCCCACATGTTTATTTGTCAACTCAGATGTGTATTTACCTATAGCAACAAAGTTGTTTCTGTCCTTTAAGTAGGATTCAAACCAATTTAGAACTGTTTCCGAAAGTCCCACCCAGTTTTCCAGTCGGTCTAGTAATATGCTGTGGTCAACAGTGTCAAACGCAGCACTGAGATCTAATAATACTAACACTGAAGTTCTGCCACTGTCTGTGTTTAAGTGGATGTCATTAAAGCCCTTTACAAGAGCAGTCTCAGTGCTGTGGTTTGGACGAAAGCCTGACTGGAACACATCCAAACAGCTATTTAAATGCAAGAAATTACTCAACTGTTGAAAAACAACTTTTTCAATGATTTTACCTAGAAATGGCAGGTTTGATATGGGCCTGTAATTGTTCATTACTGAAGCATCTAGATTATTCTTTTTTAAGAGCGGTTTAATGACTGCAGTTTTCAGGGCCTGTGGAAAAATACCTAAGTGAAGAGATTTGTTTACTATATGAAGTAGATCTGAGGCCATGCAAGGCAAAACATCTTTAAAAAATCCTGTTGGAATAATATCAAGGCAGCAGGAGGAGGATTTCAGAAGTTGTATAATGTCCTCTAGGTTTTTATCATTAATCTGATGGAATTGTGTCATGGTGTTTGAATTGATGTTAGGTGGACACAAAGACAACACATTTGCTGTTCCTGATGCAGAGGCACTGACTGCTTGTCTGATTTTCTGAATTTTGTCAGTGAAGAAGGCAAAGTCATTGCACGCCCTGGTGGATAGAAATTCAGAGGCTACTGACACTGGG